TTGTATGCAAAAGTAGCAAGCACTTCAGGCACGCAGGAAATGTTAAATAGACTGCTTTAAATTTGTCAATTACAAATCACTTTTATATTGTGAGCGTGATCACGCGTGAATTTGATATTTTTTATGCGTGAGTGCCGTATTATCTTTCAGTTACTCCGGTTAGGCCATGTATAGCAGCAATGCCTGCTTGATAGGCATGGTGACTATCACAAAGTAGTTTATCCTTCAGTTGCGTGCCCCTGATATTAAAATCAATTAGCTTTTCTAAGGTTTTGATTAGAAAAGAGCTAAAGCTTATGGGTATGTGCGCCTTTGGGAGATTTTGCCTGCTGCTACAGCATACATACGCATATACTATCTGGACCAGGGAATTTGTATGCACTAAACGTTGAAATAGCCCACCGCTAGCTTTCGCTGTTGACGATTCTGCCCGCTAGGCCTCTTGTCCTTTTGTCCACGTGCACTGCGCTAACGGTGTTCCTGTTAGTACTTGGGCCTTGTATAATGCAGTCTGAGAAGTGTTTATCCAATAGAAGCCTGCTAGTTTCCCCCAGGTGTAGCAGTTTAGGTTCCATCATAGCCGGTTCGAATGATCCAATTTGAGGGCCTTCTGTAGGAAAGAAGTCCAATGCTATGACTATCTTCAAAACATCGATATGTAAATGTTTGAACTACATATGTACATATGTATGTAGGTACATATGACTTTTTTGATCTTAATAAGTAAAAACATGCAGTGTTTCTAATTAGGATTGAAAAAGGAGTTTCAAAATAAGAAATACTACATAGTAGGACTGGCAAACGATCGATACTAACGACACGACTATCGATGGTTTCCGTCTGACGATAGTTCTTCTTGTCGTCTTTTGTGGGCATTTTGTTTTTTTTTTCTCCCTTGTCTAGTAATTAATTGATTTTATACATATCAAAGCGTTTATTTGGCAGATATCTAATTAGGCAAAGATGTATCAAATTGCCTGTTTGGCTTCTTAAGGGTGAAGTACACCGAACAAGTGATTTGCTTCAAGGTTTGACCAGCAAATTTTTTTGATCTTCTGGCCGCTTTGTTGAAGTTTGATCAAACTGCTTTTGTTGTGTGGCAAAATTGCCTCATTCGCATTACAATTTTCATCGAGTAAGGATATTGGAAAGAAAAATGGAAGAGGACCAAACCTTTTTACAATATGAACCGAAATAAGTCAATAGTAAAAACAATTATTTTTAAAGCAAGCTTTCCAAACATGAACGAAATCGGACCATAAATACTGGTTTTTCAAGTATCTCGACTCCTGCACCACCTATCGGATTAACTCGTTTTTCGTATTGCATTGTCTGGTTATGAGCCGACTGTGAAGTTTCAAGTCTCTAGGTCATCGGGAAGTTGGTCAAAAATTTATAGCAAGATTTACCCCTAACAAACCTACTTACATACATACATACATACATACATACATACATACATACGTACATACAGAGCAAGTTAAATAAAAGCTTAAAAAAAAAAACTATAATTATCTGCTTGGACGAGTCTGGCTTGTATGGTGTATGGGGAGATAAAAGAAGTAGGTTTGAAAATGTGTTCTCAAAAAAATGTTTAATGAAGTTATGATAATTTTATTCAAATTCATTGATCAATTAATTTTTCAGAGCCTATTCGAATTAGCCCTAGTTAGTAGAGCAGAACTCCAGGACTGTTAAGCTGAATTAAGTGCTGAAGGCCTGAAAAACCGCAAACATTTGGTGTGGAGCTCCACTCTTATATTAAACCGATACTATCGAAAAACTATCGATGTTTTTGAGCAACAGTATCGGAAACTATCGATGGCTCGAACTATCGATAGTTTGCCAGCTCTACTAAATAGACAGAGTATTTCATTTGTGCTTTTGAAATTCATTAATAAATAACTGCCTGTATTCATAAGTATAGAATATTCTGGTCTGCCCTGGTCGATCTCCATCCAAAGGAAATTATTCTAATTACCAGCGACGCGCTACTTGGCATACATGGCTGAAAATAATAAGCTTTCAAACCAGGGAGAGTAGTCATATAATTTTTTGCCTATTTTCTTAAAAATTTCATACAAACAATCTAGTTTCTAGAGGATTTATTAATTTTAAATGTAGCCTTATAGACTGAGTCAACTTATTGCGTATTCTGCATTCAAAACTATACCTACATGCATACACATAGACACATAAATACATACATACATATGTACATACATGGATGCATTAATAAAATGCTGGTGACAGCGGTGTTGGCAGCCCACCGCAGCCAACATCGCTTAACCTCCGCTTAGTTAGCAAAGCATTCAATGATTGTATTTATTTTCATTTTTACTTGAACTTGATATTGAAAAACTTTGGTAATTGTTGTGTGTGGGTCGCATTGCTGATAAGGCGTTCAAGTTCTTAGGAACGCCCACACCACAGCAAAAAGCACCAATATGTTAGCAACAAAAGAACAATAAAACTATTGAACTATGTAGTGTAAAATATTGCCATTGAACAATCCAAGACAGCGTGTAAGAAAACCATTCAAAGGTTGCAGATCAAGGACATAGACATATACATATACATACGTATGTACATATGTATGTTCATAAAAACTTGCAAGGCATGTCATAAGCGGATGTGAAAGGCTATCCAGATACCGCATTTGTGCATAGTTGTATATGTATGTATTACCTGTGTTTGTATACAAATACAGGATACAAGGAGGAGCAAATAAAGAAAGTGTAAGATTAGCTGCAAGTTGCATGGCACAACAATCCACAGCAACAAAGAACAGTGGAGATGGTGGTCCCAATGGTTATCGATAGATTGCAGACAGCACAATGACACGTTTTTTTTTTTTCTCCAACACTTCAAAGTTTACTAAAAGGCTTCTGTGATACATAAGTACATACATATAACATTGAACTTATTAAATCACAGTTATTGAATACATGTATACACACAAACATATGCTAAGGATTTCCATGATCGCACATATTTATGGAGTTATAACTTACTACCGGAAAAGCTATTACCGCTTTTTAAGAACTTGAAATGACTTTTAGTGGACTTTGAAAAATCAGCACTGTTGTGTAAGTGCAACAATGCATGCCTTTAGTTTTCCGCAGGAATTCAAATGTATGGCTGCATAAAAAAAAAAAATAAATGAGGACGGAATTCAACGAAAGCTCTTTATGGCTTGAGTCTATAGTGAAGCTTAAAAAGTTATTGTTTGCCAGCAACATTTAATGGAAAATGGCAATGAATGGTGTTGCATAAAGAATTTGAGCAAGCAGGTATGTTTATATAAGAGTAGCCAGCTAACAAATAAATTCACAGGTTTCGCGCTAGTGTTGTCGAATGAAAACCGGCGTCATATGGGTTTTACTTTAATTGCATAATAATCTGCATAGCTGAATAAATACTACCTACATATGTACATCGTCGCCTGGGTAAAAGATTGTCGTATGTTGATTTCGGTAGGTTGTGGGAAATCGCGATTGAAGTTTGGAATGCAATTTCTCAAAAAACGCGAAGATAGATTTTCTCCAAAGTCTCTGAAAATGCTACTGGTTCACAAAATTATTAAATTATTTAATTTTTAATGTTTAATGTTAATTAGTTTAGAGTTTATGAAGGATTTTCTTTAGTAAAATTTTGTCGCAAGCGTCATTTGTCCACAATTTGGCAGCCACTTTGTATGAAATACGACAAAATGTGATCAAAATTTCGGAAACTAAAGGATATATCCAAAAATGGAGAACGCCATTTGGTTAGATTGGGTTGGGTTGTAGTAGCTGTTCTCATCCAGGTCCCTGATCTAGGCACACTTAGGCCTAACGAGCCGGCTATGGTACCGTTTATTTGGCACAATGTTGATTCAGAGCAAGTTAGTTTATCTAATAATAAAGTGGTATAGTTCGCGGACCGAGTCGGTGACAAAGAAAGCGTTTGCTGCTCTCGATTTCCTTATCGTCACGACAGGTATTTAGCTGCGACAGTATGGATTCGCCGTAAACATTTAGAATATTTAGCCTGGCTGCATTACTATTCGCTGGCATTTTACCATAAAGAGCAGTAAGGACAATATCAGGTACATTTTGCAGAGCTTTAGTTGGCATGAAAGGTAGCGCACCAGTAGTTAACATAGAAGATGTTATCTGTTGACTGCTGGAAGGAGCACCTCCGCACATTAAGTTCTATTGCCAAGAAAAAGACTAATGAATTTAGAAATGTCTACTTGTAGTAGGGCATTGATAATATTTAGCATCAGGAGTAACGTTTTTGAAACCGTATTCAATATCAAAAAGCATCCCGAAGCTTTGTTATAGATACCCAAAGCTTTCTCAATGTAAGTCACAATAGGATTCAGTACAGTTACTACAAAACTGCCTTTTCAGTAGGCCTGTTAGCAGTGAGAAAGCTCTTTTATTTAAAAATTGTCTGATCTACGAAGCCAATAATTTATTCACGAGTTTTTATAGAGAGAAAAGTGAGGCTTATAATCTAAAGTCCTTCTTGAGGCATGGTAAGCACTTACGCCACACATTGGTAATGAGGCCACGTTAATACAAGCTTCATAAATTACGGTTGTAAAGATGCCATCTAACTTATAATAAAGTCTTCCGATAAGTTAGGTACTGTAGTTCCCCCTAGAAAGTAAATGCCAGTCTGGCAACTGATTGCCAACGTGGGTGCAACTTGGCTGAGAGTATTCTTTACCAACACAACAGAATTACTTTTATGAAATGGTTTGAGCCGTTCAGAAGGTATTAAGCTTAGTTAAAGAGCTTTCTATTATCCGTGCTTGGGTAAGCTATTTCGCTGTTTCACCAATGTTGCTTCCTTTTTTCCCCTCCGGAAAGAAGAAGGCTTCGTTTTACTAAACGAGAGCTCCTATGAATTATCGTCATAATAACTTGGCTGAGCTTCAAGTTCAAGGTCTGCACAAGGAAATATTTTTTTAACTTTTATTTACTTAAATATTTTTTATTAACTAAACGAAATTGTTTTGAAGTACATTTAAATTAGTATTAAGAAAAGTCATTGGCAATATTATTAATTAACTAATATTAACTTCGACTAATTACATATGTATGTATGTCGTCATTCATTTGAATTCCAGTCTCATTTAATTTTATTTCATTTACTTGAATCAGACTCACTTGCATCTTCATCACGCACATGCAAATTTAAACAGCTAATGAAGAAGTTATCAATCGTATTGTAGAGATGCGGTAAAAAGCTGCTAATCGAATGGTTTTCATCGGTGTAGGACTGAAAATTAGATGTCAGAAAAATTAATGAAATGTTTCAAGTATACTTTTGTTCAACTGTATAATTCCAACTCACCATCTCGTCAAAAGGAATATTAGCTGTTTGCAACTTCTTAGCTAATAGCAGTGAGTTCTGGTAATGTACATTATCATCGGCAGTGCCATGGATCAGCAGAAGGTCATGAATGTTGAAGGTATCGAGCGAGCGAAACACGCTACTATTCACATAGCCGGCCAAGTTATCTTCCTCCGTTGGCAAACCCATATAACGCTCAGTGTAGATGGTGTCTAATATTGAATATTCATTTATATGTTCAAGAATCGTTGTAATCTACTCACCATAGTACAACCACGAGGTAACTGGCGCCACACTTACACCACACTGGAACACATTGTTGGTATCATACTCCAAAGTTTTCAATGTCATATAACCACCATAACTCCAACCCCAAATACCAACACGTTCGCCATCGACAAATGGATATAGAGTCTGCAGGTATTTGGTCACAAAGATCTGATCTTGTGCCTCCAAATCGCCCAAATGGTTATTGACACTGAAGAGTAACTTCTTTCCCTTATTGCCAGTGCCGCGTCCGTCAATAAACGCATAGATTACCTCACGATTGGTGGTAACAAATAGATTGAAGCCTGTGCTAAAAGCGCTTGTAACGCGCACTGAGTTGGGACCGCCATAGACATTAACAATCATTGGATATTTTTTGGTTTGATCAAAATTCGGTGGAAATTGTAACTTCACAGCTGCGAAAGAGCCATCGGGGAGTGAGACGTTCAAGTAGGTACTGTTAGGAAACAGCTTATTGGCAAAGTATTCACGGAATCCGTTGTTATTCTCCCAAACAGAAATTTCGCGATTAGTCTGAAAGAGAAGAAAAGAAAGAAGAGGTTTTATCAGACTTTTCTACTTATACCGGCCAGAAACCGAATTGCGCATTGCCTAAGTTGCAGGTTTCTCAACTATCTACGGTCCTCGACCAAGGCCTTTCTGGTCGAGTACTATTTTTTTCTCAGAAGTAGTCCGCAATTGGCGCTCCACTCTGTTTTTCGACGAGTCGGTCGGTGACGAATTTCCTGCAATATCATTTGGACCTAGTACAAATATTGGTCAAATCGACATAACTTCCACGGGCATAACTTCCATGGGCCCGTGAAAGTTTTTTTAGACATAATTTCCACGCAGATCAGACATAACTTGCATGGAAGTTTATTGATGACATAAATTCCAGGAAATCTCAAGGAAAATCAAATCATTATTTGGGACAAAAATTAATTACGATTTCAATGCAGCAATGATAATTTGTTTAAATTTTCATTTATATGATTTAACCTAGTATACAGGGTTTATTAGACCACCCGTCCACCCGCTCTAAAATGGAGAGAAATATTTTTTAATGAAAAACGCAAAAATATGACCTACCAAATCGGGGATGCTCTATCTTTTCGTCACATTACCGACTTCCGGTTTCGCCCGGATATGGGTTGTACTGACCGGAAGTCCCTTTTCTTTAGTGGGACCGATTTTTTATCCAAAGGTTCTTTGAGTCGCTGATTACAAAACTCGAAACACTCGGACGGTGTTATATTTAGCATGGCGTTATATGCTGCTGTAGAAGTGCTCTGTAGTGCCACGTAAAAGTAGCTCTACCAGGTAAAAACTTCCTCGAACTCTCATCTCTTACTTGTCCTTCAGAAAGTACTTCGAAGCAAAGTTAAAATGTTAATCATGCCTTTTACGGTATCCGACGGGTGCCATCCGCATGGATCTTATACTGTTCGGATTGTCATAAGCAGCGAGTGTGAAGAATTAGATTCGTGCGAATAAAATATGTCGGACCGCAATAGGCATGCATCGGAGGGAGGCCATTGGCACGAGGTTAATCCCTCTCACTCGCTTGATATGGCAGTACGAATCGGATTAGATCCGTGCCGATGACATCCTTCGGATACCGTATCTTTAATGTGATTTAAAAAATATAACTTAGGCCTCACTCTGTGCTATTAAAGTCCTACCATCAAGGCTTAGTTTACCTGTCTTTCGAAAATTCTTATAACCGAAGGGCCGGGTCCATTGCAGGCCAAAATATAGTAAGTCCGATTCGTGCTAAAAGAGACACCAGCAGAGCGGCAGACATTGCCGTCGGTATCGCGCAAATCACAGCTTAAGCAGTCATTGTTGCGGAAGACATGCTGTTGGAAGGGTTGATCCTTCAAAGTAGCCTGATAGTAGCTAAAAATAAATGCACACGCATTAGCATACCACTTCAGTTATTACACCTCTAGGTTCGCTTACAGCTCATCGGCAGCCGCAACATAGAAGTAAACCTGCAACACTGTAAAGTTTCCACGCGAAATCCATTCGTTCTTGCCCGTTGTCAAGTTCAAGTTCCACACCTGAACCCAATCATCAATCCAGTAGGTGAATATGCAACTGCTTTCCTCACAAGTGGGTGTGCTGAGCATTATCCAACCGTCGGGTTCTTGCAAACGTGTCACCTCACGGCAAACACCATCCACCGTGCACTCCTGGAATGAAGCCAAATTTTGACGACGATTCAGCCAAACCAACAACACGCGGGTGCCGTTGATCCACACAACGTTCTGTAAGACATGATCAGCTGTGACCACCTCCACCGGTGCTGTTATGTTAACCGGCTGCAGCTGTTTAGTGTCCACATTGAAAAGACGCAATGCCACCAGAGGATTGGGCGTGCCCACTTTGGGGTATTTCAGTTCGAGCTCTTCTGGATATTGATATTCAAGCAATGAGTTATTCACATATTTATCTTCGTACACTTGATACTTGAATGTCTTCACGTCGACATCGTTGAAGTAGCCGCTGATCAAATAAGTGCCATCTTTAGACCACCACGCGGCGCTGCCGCTGGAGAGCACCTCTTCTTCGTATACCCAATCGGGTATGCCGTTGTATATGACGCCTGTGACACCATCGCTGGTAAGCTGCAATTCCTCATCGTCTTCATAATGAACATGAACATTATTATCGTAGACATAGGCGAGACGATTTTTCGAAGGAGACCAGCTGCAAAACTGCAGCTTCTCACCGCCATGGATCTTCGTCTCATTTCTGGGTGGAAGAAGCGCTTGTAGTAAAATAAATTTCTCTTATAAAAAAAAAAAATATTATCTATTTACCTCGTTTCAATGTCCAGTAGCGAGTATTTAGCGATAACCGAATGCCTGAAAAGTTGTTCGACGTCGTAGCGTATGAGCAACTTGGTGTTGTCTGGCGAGAAGGTGATTGTCAAATCGGAAGGATACACTTCCTGTGTAGCAAAAATAAATTTAGTGAAAGATAGTTTGCAGATTTTAGGATGTGGACTATACTCACAAATATAGCTGGTGGCAAAATCAACGACAGATTCAGCGTAGCCACATTATATTTGTAAAGATAGCCATCAGCTGCTCGATAGGCGAATTCAGCATCTGAAAGTGTTTTTTTGTTTAATTAGTTATTAATTTTTATTGTAATTGATACTTTCATCGATTTGTGGTAAAAAAAAAAAACTCTGCTTCTTTCCAATCGGAATTTTCAGTGAATAAGTAGTTGCTCAATCTAAAAGAACTACGGAAATGGTCATTTCTCTTCACTGATTAGAAATCGATAAGATGGCATACTATTCAAATAACTCAGCTATATGACTGGTAATTTTATGGCCTACTAAATTGAGTTATATATTTTTATTCGTAATTGGAAAAAGAACATATGCTACGTGCCTGCCAAAGTAGGTATATTTTTTTTTTAATTTTTATAATTTTGCAATCTGATAGTCGATAAGGAGCTGACTCAAGGCTTAACATTTGTACACGAATTTCAATGAAAAATTCGAGTTAAATGCCGTTTTGGCCTACTAAACCAATGATATACTGATTTAAGCTGCTAAAATTCGATTAACGTCGAAAGGTCGGACTTTCATTTCTTCATTATAAATGCATGCAGGCCCTGTCAGAGAAATCATACCTGGCGAAATAAATTTTCATTTCAATTTCGACAAATCCGAGGTATAATTCAGTCAGGGACTGTCTGCTGATATAACACCGAATTAAGGCAAAAAATTTTATTCGGATATGTGGTAATCTTCGAAATAGCTGCTTAACTTACGGGTACTTCTACTGCTCAGACTGTTGCTTTTTTCTAAAATTTCACCATGATACTGTTGCTAATATCATAAAGTTATGCTGCAGCTGACAATTGCCACTTCATACGACATCGTTGTGTAAAATTCTACAGTTGCTTGCATCAAAATAGAATTGATGAAGCTAGTTTTTTTTAACTCTCTTAAAGCGCACCTGCTTGGTACGTGGTAGATTTCCTATAGGGTATTCACTATGCTTTTGGTGTTAGCTAATACTTATCCATGCTTCGCAGAGTAATCGCCTAAATCCAGTTCACCAACGCAATTCACCATGAAAATTAATGAGGCTAAATTAGGTGAATGTCAGCTAAGCTATTTTTCAAGTTCAATCACACAAAAAGTGTTGAATGAGATGAGTTCTATGCTTTTTGCTAACGGTGTCACAATCTTTCTTCCAAACAAAGTATGTTCGACAATTTTTTTTTTTTTTTTTTTTAATTGGAAAAAAAGTGAAGCACCGTCGATAAAACAAATTATCAAAAATCTGCGGGTTGTTTTAGCAAAAAAACAACATGACAAAATTTTTTCCAAAAACTTTTATTAGAAAGTTTGAAATTTTGATGAAAATTTGTAAATTTTTTTGTTAGATAACGGGCTATACTTGCATAAAAAATATCAAGCTTTGATTAAACAAAAGCAGACAAAATTGCTTAAATGTCCCATCACCGTATGTATACTCACAGCAATCAGCTATTAAAGAATTTGAATGACTCTTCCACTATACGAAAACTGATGAGCAAACAAAACTTATTATGTACTGAAGAATCTTATACAGCGTGAAAAGTATCGGACCGATTGCAGTAGTATTAGTTGTCACTTCTCTTTTAAGTCTGTCCGTTATCTTTGTTCTCTCTATCACTTGGCCTGGTACTAGCTAGCCTTTATATATATGGTTTTTTTTTACAGAATGAGCTATACTTTTATACAAGAAATATTGAAAATTAAAAAACCAAAATAGTCAAGTCTCTTCAAAATTTGAAAGTACTATCATTTTGTCGCGGACTGGTGGAACATTAAAAAATTATAGTCATTTAAAATTTTTGTGCAGTATAATCTAACTAGCTTATTCATGCACGTATCGATAAAATTTTATTGGTCCTAAATTATACAAAACATAGTTAAAATTATTGCATCTAAACATTTTTTATATAAACTTATGAACGTGTGAAAGATTAGATGAAATGGTAAGATTATAGAGTACAAACACATAATCACACATATACATATATACACATTAGGGTGAACCTTAAAAATATTAACATAAAACTTTTGTTCTACAAATTGAAGACATCCACGAAAATTTCAAAATCTTTAGGCGTCGCTACGTACGTTTGAAAAAAGTTTATTTATTTTTCTTTTTAATCGCGAAAATTCGAAAAAAAATCTTTACTTAAATTCTGATAAATCTTACATGTTATTGAATCTTTTTCATATAAATTCATAAACACGCTGAGTTATAACTATGCAAAGTCAAATTTTTTTCGGATTTTTGCGATTTGAAAAAAAAAATAATAAATTTTTCAACCCGTGGTAGCAACTCCTAACAAATGTTTTTTTAATTTTAAAAATTTCGTGGATCTCTTTATTCTGTTTGTAAAACAAAAAAGGCATGTCTATTATGTAGATATCTTAAGGACCACCCTAGTGTATGTGTATAAAAGTGTTGGCTGAAAGTGGCAAAGAAATTAAAGTGACTAATTAAACAGAATTGAATAAATTTTTCCACAAAAATATCAACAATTTCATTACTTGCCCTCAACTCGAAATATGTTTTCATTTTATGTAACTGAAAGACAAATCAAATTGACTGCCAACAAACACGCAAAGCCCATTTAAACACACAAATTTTTATTTCAAATGTAAAAACTGAAAATCAATTTACCATTAATCCAACTTCCGTTGAAACTACGCAAGCGTCCGCTGGCCGATAGCGCCTCATTCAATTCCCAAGGTACTTTTTCGCTCGCATCGCGCGGTGCATCCCCAAGATGACGCGCCTGTGTCGTACTTATAAGCGCCAACAGCGCAAATAAAAAATGCGTTTTCCAAATCATATTAGTTTTTCTTTGTTGAGTTTTTTCCTCCAAGCTTTCAATTGATATTATTTCTTGTTTGCAATTAACGTTTTCATTTATCGAAATAAATCACTCGGCGTGTAAGCGAGCGTGCACTGAACTCTTTGAATTTTAATTTTATGTAAATTTTGTTTGTATTGTAGGTATTTTGCGAACGAATAGTGAATAAAAAAAAATTACGTCAATAAAATAAAATCAATTATTATGCGAAGCGCGCTTAAGCACGCCAACAACAACAGCAACAAACACAACGGCCAATAACACCGACGATGCCTGGTACCCACTTTTTGTCTCCCCTAAATTTCACGAGTCTTACTTTGCGCGCACCACACAACCGTTGCACTTGACTGCCACCGCTCAACTGTGCTCCAACAGGCCGCAACAGCACTCTGAAATGATAAGCCACGATCAGCCAGCCACCCAATTGGCCTGCCAGACGTCGACAACGCCAACTGCGCCAACTGCTAGCTCGTAGGCAGCAAATCAGCGCTGTCGGCGCAGGTGAGCAATCGAGTTGATCGAGAGCCCACTGCAGATGCAAATATTTGACGTGGTAACTCTCTCGTCAAGCAGTCAACGTGCCGGCCACATGAAATAGTTACTCTTCAAAAAACAGAGATCCCATTATTTGCTTTTTTGATTGGCATGCAAATCAGCATTTCTAATTTACTTATTTACTTTCTTTAACTCATTCGATTCCATTAGCTCTTAAATTTTTTTATGGAGCACTCAGTTAACCAGCTAGCTCGAGCGTCTAAGCTAAGTTTTAATCAGATTTAACCTAACCAAAGTTACACCATGGACTGGCGCTTAAAATAGGTTCTTGGTTTTAATTAACTATTCAGTCATTTTAACTGAGTTATTAACAAATAATGAAATTATCTATTTTATATTTCCAGGTTTTAAACTTCGTCTATGCTCTTATTCTAAACATGTGGTGTTTTCAATAAAAAATCTTGATCATTAATATACTTTCGAACATCAAAAAATCGATGAGTAAATCAAAGACGATTCAGAAACAAACTTTATCTCCAATAAAAAATTTAAGACATTGGCATATAGTGAGTGACAAAATGATAAGGTATTAATAAGTTTTACCTTTCATTTTCCTTCAAACTAATTATAAATATTTTTATAAATACAAAGGTCATTCTATAAAAAAGATTATATAAATCTAAGTTTCAAACTGCAACAAAAATCTATCAAAATTTTGCACTTTTTATTCAGGATTTTTACTTTTCAGTCCAATCAATTCCAGCATAATAAATTACAAGTTGGAAGTGACTACAAAATTGCGTTGTTTTGGCATTTTTTAGAGCAACAGAAAGTCAGAACAACAGTTTTTAAAATGTTTATCCGTCTGTCTGTTTGTATGTTTGTACGCGCCTTACTCAACAGCTAATGCATGGAATTGAAAGCAGTTTCCACCGATGCATTGCTTTAGGTCTAACTTAAAATATAGAAAAAAAACTTAGAGTTGCCACCTGTTTGTAAATTTCAGATAAAGTAAATTAACAAGTTAAAGTAAATATTGAAGTATGACTGTAAATAAAAGGAGTTTTAAAAAGGCTTATAGCCGAAAATATTTGTGTGAAAGGTTGCCACCTTATATGGGTATTAAACTAAAATTGTTGGAAAAATTTACTACCGAAAATATTTTTGAGGAGAGTTGCAAATTAAATAAAATTAATAAAACAAATGAAATATTACAATACAGGCATCAAACTAAGTAGGTTTAAGAAAATTTACTGCCGAAAATATTTTTGAAGCGGGTTGCCACCTATTTGGAAAATTTAATTCATTTAAATCGATAACATAAACTAAACTATGGGTATCAAGCGAAAGTATTTGAGCTGCGGATATATTGAATTAACCTTTAGATAAAGCGTTCTTGAACCAGTTGCTGAGTTAGGTTGTTCTTCAACCAAGTTTTGAGATAGGTCGTTCTTCAATCAAATTCTGAGGTAGGGCGTTCTTGAAGAAAATTATGAAATAGGGCGCTTCCGAACCAGCTGCCGAGATAGGTCGGTCTTCTTCTCAGCCGTCGATATAGAATGAACTATATTTTTATATAAAAATATTGTTAAAATTGGTTTGAAAGAAAATAAATATGTAGTGTAAACTAACTTATAACTTATCATTATGCCAATCGCTATATGAATAACGCAAAGTTAAATATGGATGGCCTAAAAGTAACTGTTTTTTTTAGAGAATAAAATAATAATACTGAAATTGATTCGAATTTCGACATGAAAATTTGGCACCTTTAATACCTCAGTTAATAAAAATTTTCTTGTATTGCGATTTTTCGAAAATAGGAAGTGCCATTAATACTTCACTTTTTAAACCATAACAACAAAAAATGTACTACTACTACTACTATTTCACCCGAATTCGAGCTCACTTTTGTTTATTCGATTATTTAGAGGTATTACATACATATGTGCATTTACATTCTCATTTAAGTTTGTTATTAAATTTTCATACGCTCTTCTTCACACGCTATGGATCTCGCAAACATGCAGATGTGAGTGCATAAATATTATTTCCTTACTGCTCTGCTCAACTGCAAATGAAGGCCAGTGTCATCATGTAGAAAACCGCATTAAACAATTAACGGTCGCAGTGCAATTGTTTACTTCTCTGCTTTTCACTTCAATTCATTGAACCTTATCAATAGACAGTGGTAGGAAGAGAGAGAGATGGGCAGCAAAAATTTCACGGATATTAAATATTAAATTAAATGTTTATCAGTTACTTTCTCCATATCATAGTTCGAAGGAGGAAAAGGAATTGTAATTAGTCATGCGACTGAAAGGGCACTTTTTCAAGAATTTTTCTGGAAGAAGATTTTACTGAAAACAACTTCTTGAACAATCACATTTTTTGGGCCACTGTTCACTGAGTAAAGGTTTTGATAACATCAATGTGAATGCCAAAATTCCAAGTAAATGAAAGTCTACTCACAAAATGCTTTTATTGGTCTAAGACAAGGTTTCGAAATCATCGATCTAACTCTGTATCAGATTTGAGTTTATTTATAGTTCACAGAGCAAAGTTCAAGTGAGCAGATGTACATATGTACATACATACATACATACATACATACATACATTAGCGTGGGCCGAAATACCGCTTTTTTTAAATTTTGATTGGTAATTTTTAGTAAAAAAAAATTTATTAATTAATAATGTATTTATTAATTTTTATTTTTTGAGCACATTCAACTTTGATGGACATGGGCGAGCCTAAGATATTGACCAAAAATTGTCATCTTTCACACAGATTGTTTTTAAAGCATAATAAATCATAGTTTTGCTATTACCAATCAAAATTCTAAAAAAAAATAAACGGATTTTCGGCCCACGCTAACATAATTATATAGAAATAATAAGTAAATTTATTCGGAACCAAGCATTTATGAAAACACACCACACTGCTATTAATTTAATGAACCAATAATAATAGCGCTTTAACATTAATGGACACCGATAACAGTTCCTTATATTTTTTACTAAGAAAACAACTCCCTTAATTAGGCTATTCAGGTCGTAGGGCAAATATTTTTGAAAATAATAAAACTTTGACTTACCGTCCTTGATTTTTGGAATGTAAATATATAATTGCAATAATCGCATACACAACTACTCATAAACTAAACCACGGAATTATGCGAAATTATATAACTTCTTTATTAATCTATCATAAAATATTTTTTTAAATTGTTTAAATTTTATAAGTTTAAACAATTAGCTATAATAATTTTAATTACTTCTTAAATAACTTTATATACATTTAAGGCTATTGTACTTACTTTCAGAAAAAGATCCCACTTTACACAATTCAAAGTGTTAAATTTCTCCGAAAATGGTTTCACTTCTAATACCACATTCCGTTTGCCTCAGATTCTTTGTGAAAGAAACTAATTTTGCGGCCCTGTCTTCAAGACTGACTTATGTGCACCGCAAGGAATTGCCTATCCAACCCAATGATATTGAAAAGCCATTAAGGTACCTAAATCGTGGCATTTATATCAGCTATTCGGGACTCCGCCACACTGTGCGTGGTCCTCGATTTGGCATTTTTCCTAATTGAAAACATTTGGATAGGAAAAAACCTATCTAACATATACGTCATTTTTGTCACAATAATTTGTTATACCATATCGATGTCTGAGTGGAAGATCGACCTATCGCGGCAGCCAGTTCGAAAATGCCCTATCTCAGAAAACTTCTCAAGATTGCCCTACTTCAGAATTTGATTGCAGAACGCCCAATTTCAGAATTTTATTGAAAACACCCTTGTCTCCGAATTCGGTCCAAAAACGCCCTAGCTCAAACGAAAATACATATTTTATTCGGAAAGAAATTACAACTCACGGAGTTGCCATAAGGGTTGCATTCTTAGGTAAAGTTGTGTTTCAAAACTTGAAAAATGTTTTAGGGCCGGTTGTTCAATGTCTGGTTAACACAAATCGGACGTAGAAGCTCCGGTTAAATACAATGACTGCTTTATCGATCATATGTTATATGCATGATGCCGCAATTGTCGATAGTGCAGTGGTAGTGATAACATTGAACAACCGGCCCTTAGGGCCGTTTTCACCATCTCTGGTTAACACTAGTCCCCAGATAACCATTGTCACCGACGTTACCGACCCAATGTTAAATGAATGGAGTCAGTACCGTCGGTAAGGATATTTAACTGGGGATTAGTGTTAACCAGAGATGGTGAAAATGGCCCTTAGTGGTTTTTAATTTTGAACCGAATCGAATAATTTTGTTTTTTGGTTCGGTAGTGGCATTTCAAAATAAAAACGTTTGCGTTCGTGGTACGGTTCGAAGCCTGGCTCAAAAAGCAAAGGCTCAAACCGGTTGGCTGCAGCCCTGCTAATAATTACCTCAATATTTCAAGCTTGTTGTTTTCTTGATATTGTAGAAATTTGACAGTAAAAACTTGTACATATACTATATGTATTGCTTTTGACCGGCTAGTGAAGACCAACCGATTGTAAACATTTTTTTCATCGAACTCGCGATGTGGGCATAAACGTTCCAAATTTTGCGTAGAATGTGTTGCGCTTTCATAAAAAGCAACACTGCCGGATTTTATTGAAATTCGAATACACCAGGTAAATAAAATAGAAATGTACATACGCATGTAATATAGTAAAATATTTACCATTCTTTTAATATTGTAGCAGCAGTGATCTAGACAAAAGCGATCGTAATTCAGTGCTCTTAACGCATACTGACACTTTGACATTTGATTGAGGCCAACAACGATCATAAAGCCCTCGAGAGCAATGAAACGTACATGCCATTTCAATTTTGATTAGACACATACATACATATGTACATACATACATATGTATCCCGAACGAAAAATGAGATGCATGTCTTGTTGATGCCTTCCCATTATGTCCATGCTTATCTCGCGAGCATTTGCTTGCCTTTCTGATTTGAACGCTTGTCAAAAAATTGCTCTCAAATTCTTCATGCCAATCACTTTATTGTTTTTTCTCCGTAAATATGTACATATCATAGCTCGTATCCGGCGAATGCAATAGCAGGTATAAGAAAGTCAAAAAATTTCACAAAAGAGCAACGAAACTTATTTTCTTTAAAACATTTGAATGGTTTTCTAACTCAACGCATATTTCGAACTTCTACTATAATTATTCACTATTAAATTTGTATGCGCCAAGCGACGATAAATATGTACATATGTGCAGTAGGGTGGTCCAAAAATGCACGTTAAAATGTAAAGTCGGAATTTTAATGCTCCCACCCCCTAGGATTAATCGATGTCGAAAAAAGATATCCGTGCTTTTCGAAAAAAAAATAAAATTTTAGAAGTCGCTTAAAGCACTTAAGTTTTCCATGTATTTTATGTGGGACCAATTCCATCTCAAATCATGCAAACCGACTGCACCTATCTCTCCGAATCCCTTGAATTTTTAGTATATTATTCTATGTACTTGGAAAATAAGCGCATACGTATTTTCTTATTTGTCGATATCATCAAAATTACATGTTTCATGCACTTTTGAAAAATTACTCAACAATTTTCGATTCTCACCAATCGAAATTTTTTTTGTTCTTACTCGAATTTTAATGGGTATTTGAAAATAATTATTATATATCTACTCGATGCTATGGTAATGTTCCATCGATCTGCCGCTTTTAAAGTTTTTTTTTTTACAAAATTTTTTTCAAAAGGCCATTTTTTGGCATTTTTTTTAAGATAGCTTGCCGCAGTATGTACTTATATTTTGATATATTTAGCATTTAGGTTATTTTTGTTTTTTGAGAGATTTAAAAGAAATTAAAAATATACATATATTTTAGCCAAGTCAAGTCAGCTTAGTAAATAGGGGTAAGCTTACAATAATTCGCATTGAGCTGAAATTTGGTACGAATGTTGGGAACGCCTTTATAAACGAAATGTGAAAAAGTTCCATCGATTCCACATCCGCAAAAAGATTCATTCGAAGTCAAAGGTCAGATAAATTGGTGTTATATTTATTTTGAAAAATTCTAAAAAAAACAGGTGCATGTTTTTCGGTATAAAAAAAATCCTAATTAATTAAAATTCCGGATTTACTTTTTTTTTGGACCACCCTCACGTGCATGCATATCGCTGAATTATCTACTAAAAGAGTTTCATATAGAATTAGCGTATATAACTGCGACAGTTTTACTTTTTATGAAAGACTATCAATTTCTGTCTATCAAATGTTCTATCAAATTTTTACTGCACGACTTGTGTAGTGTTCAGCAGAAAATAAGTCCACTGGTATTACTGAACAACGACACAATACGAAAAATATCGTTATTCCCTATAAAAGCAACACAAACCGATCACAATAAATGTGCGACATGTGCCACTGTTCAGTAGTAAGGGTTGCCTACTCGGATTGGTAAAAAGTAAGCAAATGTCGATTTTCAAGAAAACGGTTAAGAAAAAAATTGCCTTTAGTTCGTGTGTTATTCCCTTGGGACCAGAACAAGGACCTCTGTTCCTATGGGGGAAATATTCGAGCATCTTCCAAGCTGAAGTATATGCCATCTATCTATGCGCGGAGACAATCATGAGTAGAGGGTACAGAAATGAGAGAATTATAATGCTGTCAGGCGACAGTCAGGCGGCACTCAATTCTCTTCTATCCTATGAAGTCAAATCCTCGTTGGCCCTTGAGTGCATTGAGAAGCTAAACTCCCTTGGCAGACACAATAGCATCATGTTAGCGTGGGTACCCGGCCATATGAGAGTGAAAGGTAATGAGGTGGCTGACTGTCTCGCTAGAGAGGCGGCAGTCATCACTCCAGTTGACTCACAGTCTTTGATGGGAGTAGGTCCCAATACTATAAATGAGGAGCTTAGGAGAGAGAAGTACACACTAAGGGATTTAAACTGGCGCAGTTCGGAAGGAATGCGCCGGGCAAATAGTACACTGGGAAGGTTTAACAAGAAGAGAATCCAACGCTTAATGGACATCCCAAACGACAGGCTTAGAATTCTAACAAGTATCATTACAGGACACTGCAGACTAAGGGGCCACCTATATAAGTTGAGGATATGATCTAATGATCTTTGCAGGTTCTGTGACTTGACCAGCGAGACACCGCTTCACATTCTCACTGAGTGTGACGCAGTCTGCAAAAGACGTGAGATGAGTCTAGGCTCTATGTGGCCACAGCTTGAGCACATCCACTGCCTCTACCCCCGAAGTCGCTATTGAACTTTCTGAGGGATCTGGGCTTAGATGAAGTGTTGGGAAGATAAGAGGGCACCATAAACGTCTTTTGGTTTACAAACAAAACATGAACATAGTCAGCTGATTTGTCTCCTTCCAGTTTTTGCACGTGAATGCAAATTTTCTGTCCGTTCACATTTTTGGTTTTCCTCCATTTCAGAGAGGATTTTCGATGGCGCGAACAAAACTAAAGGTGCAATCCCAAATTCGCTCAGAGCGAGAGAGTAACATTGAAAAGTACGGGATCGCTTTCTTGTAAAAAATGGTAACTTCTGTCAACATCAACATAACCTCCAAATTTTGGTTGTAAATTTTTGCTTATTTTGTATGTAAACACATTCAGCTAGCACATGTAAATAACCAAAAATACTTTCAAATTCATTAGAATCCGCTTAAACAAGTAATTAAATATTTTTCAACATGAATTAGCAGAGTGCACTTTTCTTTTGTTTACAATTTGGTTGCCAAACACACTACAGCTGATCGTTTGATACATTTACCAGCAAAAAATTCTCGGAATAAAACTGGTAACTTCTGACAGAGAGAGAACGGTATTTACTCTCTTTTTTCTCCTCTCAATAGTCAGAGAACCGAGTACGGGATCGATTTCCAGTAAAATCTGACTGATTCTGACTATTTCTGACTAGTCCGGACTCGTACGGGATCGCAACTTAATATTGCAGTAATTATTGTGTAGCTCGAACACACCCTCAAGACCATGTCTGATAAAACGCTTGCTCCGCTTTGCGTGTTTGAATTTTTGATAAATAACTCCGGATTCGTGATCAGCGATGCCAAAAACCCCCGAATAACAATTTTGCAGTGAATCCAATGAAGTTTTTAAAAATGAGCCGCGGTTTTGAATTTTCATAAACGCCGCTCGACATATTTTAAGACCTTGCCTGATTTTATATAGCTAAACCATTTTTGGCGAGAAAGGTTACAAAGAATACCTCATACTTACGTACGTGTTAGCAGAGATGTCAAAAATGCTTGTATTTGTTTACATAATACATATTTTGAAAATACAAATACATTTGCAAATACTTTTGAAATCACATGTTCATAACGTCACCTGAAATACATTTCATCAAATTACAAGTCCCCACCTCACATTGCTTTATGCAAAAACAGAGTTTGTTTGTTACGGCTTTTGTGTATTTCAGGTGACGACATGTATGTACATGTCGTTTGAAAAGTATTTGTATTTTCAAAATACGTACTTTTTATTTTGTATTTACATAAATACAAGTAATTTTAACATCTTTGCGGGGGAGGTTGCTTTCAGCGCGTTTTCACATAAAAATGAACCGGCTGTGATATATATATATATGTAACTCCATGCATTCGATACCGGTTTATGATACTTTTCTCCGGAAAAAAGTAAAATGTCCATGCAAATTTGCATGATTTAAAAATTATTTGTACAATTAAAAATCATTTAACTTTATTTCATTTCTTGATTTCTTTCGCCAGTTTGTTGTGTTTTAGTGGTTTTACAAATGAAAAATCGTATTCATTAGCTTGACTTATCCTTACATACATACATACATATATGTATGTTTGTATGTTTGTATGTCGGTTTCAGTTTCACGCCTTTTCTTAATATCGACATGCTATTTTTGTAACCAACTTTACGGCATTTACCCACATTGTGTTTATATTATTTTATTATTTTTATTTGTTTGTTCGCCTACATATCTGCTTGCAACTTTTCTTTCCTATTTTTATTTATATATAGATACATACATATATATATATTTTTTTTTATTAGTGCTAAACATGATGCATAAGGAATTTTTAATATGAATCTCTTTACAATTAATTATGTAGGTAATTGAATATGTTCTTTCTGTTCTATAGCAGCTTTATTTTTTTTTTTTTTTTTTAATTTCCCGTTAAAAAACTCGCATCGAACTAAATTATTTAAAAAAAATATTTAAATATTTAGTCAAGCTGCAAACATTTAAAATGGGTGTAAGCTTGTCAGAATGAGAGACAAGAGTAATTTTTTGGAAATTTTTAAGTTTACGTAATAGTATAAATAAATAATTCGTGTTCATACAAAGATTCTCAGAGATATAAATTTAATTGCTTTGAAAATATGCGTGCTACTCAATACGCGCAATGATCCAGCAGCACTGCCACTAAATAGATTTGTATGTTAGGTCAAACACTTTAGTACATGCAATTAATTTTAGAAAATCTAAGCTTACTGGTATCGAAATAGGAGGGTTTTAAATTTTTTTTTCTCAATCTGAATAACTAAACAAACAATTAGCTTAATTACATTTGTTCAAGTCAGTTTAAAAGAGACCTATTGAAGGAGAAAAAGGTGTATGTTTGACAACTGCTCAGTTTAGATGTGATTAAATAATAAAAATACATATATGCTGATTTCATGCCAGGTCTTTCTAAATATTTTTACAGCATTTAAACAAATATAGAATATTTAGCAATTGCGAAATTTAGTACTTTTCTCTGATCACTAATATTTACTGCATTTTTAACTTAAGCTGTTTTCAGAAATGTATCAAGCCAAAACACTAGTTCATTTTATTTTTAAACTATAATTGAAGGAAATGTCTTATTTGCGTAACTAAGTTCCAATTCGGTATTTAACAGAGTTGCGCATATTGGATATTTCCATCAATTATTGTTCATAAATAAAAGAGAATGATGCTTTGGCTTGAGACATTTTTGAACACAGGGATATTTCTTAGCTTATTTGAATAATTTTGAATAGTATATGTATGAAGGTTTTTTTTTTCTTTTAATTTTGCTGCGTTGCATGCTTTCAATAGCAGAATTTTAACTGGTTTAAGTATTGTTATTAAGCTTCTCAAGTATTTGTTCCTGCATTTCCAGGCATTTCGGAAAGAAACGTTCCAAAAGATTCACCTTACGCTCTTCTATCAACATGCGCTTGCGTGAGATTTCCAACTGCTCGGCAAGCAGTATATTCTTTTTGCGCACCTCATTAAGGTACATTGACTCCAAAGAATCTGTACCACCCTGCGCTGATACCACCATATTATTAACGTGCGTCGTGCGCCGTCGTCGAGGTTGTCCGGGTGCACCGCGACCTAGCCCTGACGTTGGTGGCTGCATTGTAGCAGCACTGCTGCTAGCACTAGCAGTGTTGTTATGATTAGTATTGCCAGCGTATTGATTATTATATACTGGGTTGTCAGAAGCTTGTTGTTGTGTGGATGATGTGGCTGCAGCTGGCGTAGTGTTTGAAGTGTAATGATTCTGATTGGCGGCAATTTGATTCGCTGCGTATGAGTTGCCGCTATGATCATACCCGGCTTGTTGCGGATTTTGTTGTGCATGCTGCTGTAGTAATTGATCCGGATGTTGTGAGTTGTTTACTGTAGTTGTATCAGGTGGTGGTGCTGATGAAGATGCTGGAGGACGATACTGTTGGTATTGTTGTTGCTCCTGCAGTTGTTGCTGTTGTTGCTGCTGCTCCAAAAGTTGTTGTGGTGTTTGCAGTGTATGCAATTGTGGTTCCTCATAATCATCATCCTGTGTTGGTGGCTGGGATTCGAAATGATTTGGCTGTGGGTAGTTGCCGAAAGTATGATATTCACTTGGGAACTCAGCTTTAACCTCATCAATAGGGTCACTGAAAAGCTCAGCGGTTGTATTGAATAGTGTTGTAGTTATACTGGAATCAGCGAGAAATTCACCCTTCAAGGAAGATAATTTAAATGTTGGAATTAAAAAGGTATATTATTTTTCTTGTCTTTCCTAGAAGGTAAAACATCAACTGACGCTTACCTCAACTTTTATGTCAATATCTTCTGTGCTTGCTGGCACGTCTATTGATACAGCAGTATTGTTATTTTCCGCCACCGATGCATTGGTAGGTGCTTCTTGCGTATTGGAACTCGATGTAATACTTGTGGGTGAGGACTGACGTGCCGATCGTGAAGGTGACGGTGGCGACGAAACTTCACTCAAATCGATATCACGATTATTTTCCAGCGCCTCCTTCGGTACCGGTGAGGCATCTTTTGGGCGATATTGGTTCTTAAGTATTTTATCAATTATGGCAAACTTTTTCCAACGTACGCAATTCTTGTCTGCTGCTATCTGTTTTTTGACTTGTCTGCAAGTGTATCAAAAAGTTAATTTTTATCAATTATTTGCATGTACATATAGGTTTGTATGAATGAACTAATGTATAATTAGCCATAAAACAGATATTTCTCGCTTACAACGATTTACCTGAACTTTGCGCGCGTTTGATTAACTTTCGCTTGTATTTCCTCTTGTTTCACGTCAATATCGAAACGGTCCTTCAACTCAATAGCCCATTTTGCGAAGAAAATTGTATTTTTTCCATGCCGAGTCAAACGCCAATTGTCGCGACCCCAAATCTCGAAGAAACGTTGCTCTTCTTTTGCCGTCCAGTAGCGGCGTTGCTTTTCCTTTTTAGAGTCCAACTCAGTAGTTTCAGCCTCGATTTCGGCTAGCAGTGGATTCAACGTCAACTCATCGTAATCCATTCCCGCCTCTTCCTCGGACAGCATTTGAATAGGCCGGGGTTAAACACTCGATTTTCAATGGTAAATTTTCTGTATTTTTTGCCAAAATGCAATTTGTGCTAGATTTTCGGTATAAAATTTTCTAGTTTTTGCACAACTGTCGGCAAGATAGACGCAGCGGGGCTAAATTGACGTTTATGAATCGTTGTGGAAATGTCAAAAAAGCAAAATGCACATAATTGCATTTTAACTATGTTTAGTGTGCTGAAGGAAGGTTTTTAATAGAAAGTTTTGCAATTGAAAGGTATATATGTAAAATAGAGTATGCAAAAATTTTATTTAATAATAATTCGTTGGATATATTTTATAACCGCTAATTAATCAGATATTCTTTATTTGAGATATTCTTTACATGTTCAAACCAACTGGCAACGCCGACTGTTTGGTCACGTACTCAAATTCTGAGGAATCGCGTTTCTTTATTAACTCGGTAAAAACCGAATACATTTATTAATAAAGTGAGTTGTTGCAATATTTTCATTCAAATAAATTTTTAATTTATTTGTTGCGCCGTGGGTAAAATGGTACAGACCATGATAAAAACATAGCAAGGTATAACCGTTCTCTCAATTTGTCGGCCATGATTTTTTTTTGAAGTTTGCCAACATTTTAAAATCATATAAATGTGAAAATAAGAAAATGAAATTGTTCGAAATTGTTGTTGCTTGAGATTGAAAATGAAAATGTGTGTGTGAGTTTGTGAGTAAATTTAAAAATTAAATTGTTTGGAAACGTCAAGAATTTTAAAAGTGACTCTCAGCGGTTCTACCTTACTATATTTTTATCATGGTACAGACCATGATAAAAAATATGGTTTGTTATTATCATAGTACAGACATATTGTTGAATATATTTGGACGGTTCCGAACAATTTAGGAAGTCCTTGTAGGATTTTTGTTGGTGCAACAAGGTTTTAAGAATAACTTCGGGTGCGGCAACTCTGTTTTGCTTCAGTTTTATTTAGATATGGAACGATACCATGCAGGTATCGATACTTTTACTGGGAAGTAGTATCGAAAGAAAGTATCAACCGGAGTACGTATAATAAACTTCCACTCGAACAGTAGGGCCGTGTATAAGTCGCTTTAGATCGACGTTGGTGATGCAATTGGAACGTTTATTCTTTTCTTCATATGCGGAATAAACGTGGAGGAAAATTTGTCGAAGCCAAATTTGCCTTAGTATCGGGTTTCGATTAATAATAATAATAATAATAGATTGGCGCTTACACATATGTTAGTGTTTGGCCGAACTTCTCCTCCGATTTGAAGTTGTCACACAAAGAGGGACCTACAGTTTTACGCCGACTCCGAACGGCGATTGTATTTTAATGAGAAGCTGTTTTTCATGGCAGAAATACACTCGGAGGTTTGCCATTGCCTGCCGAGGGACGACCGCTGTTAAGAAAAAAACGTTTTTCTATATTTTTGCGATGTTGCTTTGACCAGGGTTTGAACCCAGGTGCTGCGGAGTGGAAGCGCACACTGCTTACCACTACACCACAGCGGCCGACCTAATTAATTAATTACCCTTGGAAATTTCGGCTAAAATTTTCGAGATTCTACTTTACTTGGTTCCAAAGTATCGATAGCTAAATTCCTAGGTATCGATCGAAAAGTATCGAGTATATACTTGTATTTACTCGTGTCGTTTCATTCCTGATTTCATTGGCATTTAATTTTTTTTACTACCTATGTAAAAGTATTTGGAATTTATTTTACGGGGAAAAGTAAAATCTTATGATTTTTCGTTGGCTGTACCGTTATTAAGGTATGGGCAATTCCGACAATGAAACGGTTGATGAGAACCAACCGCCAACCCATACTCAATCTGCAACGCCTGAGGATGACGCGACAAACCTACCAAGGCATCTTCGACATCGTTACTGGAATAGTTGGGAAGAGATGCGTTTAGTAGAACTATGGCGGCTGCACAGCGATGACGTGACGACATTAAAGCAAAACATTCCCATTTTTCGTACTATATCGGAGGGAATGCGTGAATATGGGTTCCATGTGAACGCTCAGGAGGTCCGGCGTAGAATTAACAATTTCAAAAACAAGTATATGTAAGTTTAAATGGATTTTATACAAGTTTTTATTTCAATAATCACACGCTTTTGGTATCTTACTAGTGCCGAGAGACGTCGTTTAGAACTAGATGACCAAAAACTCAGCGACTGGCGCTTGTATCCGCTAGTCCATTGCCTGTTAGCACCGCGTCAAAAGAATCAACTATTAACGCATCAAAAATTAGTACGTAATACTGCTATCATTATAGGGTCAACCACTAACTTGCATATTTATTCTCTTCAGATTCTGGATCAACTATGCTCAAAAATACCGCAGGAGTTGATAAACAAAGAGATACCTTTCATTGAAATTATAGACAAAAAACCCGTTCAGCAATTACCTACCGTTGCTTCAAATGAACCCGAAGTAAAATATGTACCGCCAGCGCGTTCACAGCGTTATCAACCACGAGTCAAGCCCTATCCCAGAAGTTTAAGCATCGACTCGAGCTTTTTCTTGCGACATAACTTCAACAGGGAGAGATTTACCCAAATACTTGTAGATAATAGCATACTCTCTGACCAGCGTGATGCAGCTCTTAAGCAACTGAAATCAGAGGAAAGGTCATTCAAAGCCTTAGAGAGCTTTCTCACAAACTGGCAAAAGAAGCACGAAGTCGTATTGCAGCGCTTACAATGCGCTGAGGCAAAGTAACAACAACTTCTGAATTTTTATAATAGTCCTCGGTTCATTGTTAGTTGCGAAACCCTCAAGTCGTCAATAAGATTTTTGTTTAAGTTTTGTATGATTTCATTTTTTTAGTATTGTATTGTCATTATTTTAAGTTCGTCCAATGTCTAGTTATTTTATTTACATATTTTTTTTTTTTTTTTTTTTTGTTTGAAAGGATCTACTTCCGCATTTCAATAACGTTTTTGGCAGAAATCTTGACTTTTTACCACAATCGATGTAACATGTCTTCATATAAGGAGTAAATAAACAAATGGGTGACATTTTATACTTTTATTTTTAATTAATCACCTAACTATAAATATTTCGCTTTCGTATTTTTTGTTACAAATGGTTGTGGTTTTCGCAAGCATGGAATTAGTTTATCTTAGTTTTAAATACTGCGGATAATTACAATTAAATAAACAAAAGCGCACTAGATTCTCTTAAGTTAAGAACCGATCGAGAATATTCTGAAACAGGCTTTTTTATTTGAAATCTTTTTTCCGGTATCTGCTTTTTGATAAGGCAAACTAGTGAAAGCACTTAAACTTAATTGAATATGAATATACTTAATTTTATAGTTGCAAATAAAGTAACTGTACAAAGAGAGAAGTGGCTATTGATAACTGGAGTTAAGAAATATACGCTATTGTGTTTCATTTTTGCTGCTTACTTTGAAATGTATGCACATAGTATCAAGTAACGCTCTACCGGTATATATATATATATATATATATATATGTATATACACCTGTGTTCAACTAATTAGAAACGAATTTCAAAATTATATTGTTTGCAAATTATGTTACTTTTTTATTATTTTTATTTAAAATATAGTCCAATCTGTAACAGAAACCAAAATAATAAAATTTTCAAAGCTTCAATTGTAGTCTAAGAAAGTGAAAGACTCAAGTCGTTAAAAATTAACGTTGATTTTTTAGAATTTTTTTTTTAGTGGAGGGTGTTGCGCATTTTCTTCCATATAACTCACGATCAAAATTCTAAAAAATCAACGGTAATTTTTAACGACTTGAATCTTGCACTTTCTTGGACTACAATTGAATGGGCTACAGAACTGCATACCCGAAAGTTTTCTAAATATTCTGAACAAAAATTTGGAAATTTTAATGACAATATTTTGAAGTTTGATAAATTTTTTTTTTCTGGAATTTTCGCAAGCTTTGAAAATTTTATTATTGTGGTTTCTGTTACAGATTAAACTGTGTATATTTTAAATGAAAATTATTAAAAATAAAAAAATAAACATAATTGGCAACCAATATCTTTTAGAATTTCGTTTCTAGATAGTTGAACGCAGGTGTATATGTTCCTACATATTGTTCAGTTAGTTGACGTGTTGCTAAATTTCATGTCATCCTACTGCTTTTCATTCCACTTAATTAAATGCCACAAATCTGTATGTATTTTTAAATGCCTACATATGAACAAAAGGCAAAGGCGCCAAACAGCACGACAATGATGAGTATTATTGCCACCCAAGCGGGTATGGTTCCTAAAGCAAGAAAAACAAACAAAGAACATATTTAATATTAATGTTTTAATCGAATTTCTTATAACCACTTACGTCGTTGCTGCAGACTGTGTATGCACACTTTATTGTCTACGGATATTGAAAGGACCGCCGCTTCAGTATCACTTGAAATTGGTGGTCCCTCCTCGTTTGTGATGGGTAAGAATTGTAAACCGGTTACGAACATCGAATGCGCATTGGGAATGTGGAGAACGCGCTGCAAATAAATAAACGGCGATTAATTTTCCAATATTATTAATGAATATTTGTTGATTTTATTACCTGTAAACTGAAGGCAATGTAGATAGAAACACTGCCAGTGAACATAGTGCCCACCGCCACGAAACGACCATCATCGCGCACAGCCAACGAGGCTAAGCTCTCATCAATTTGCACCGCGCTGCGTAACTGCCCGCTTATGCAGTCCCACTGTTGTAGGAAACCACGTTGTTTACCTACCTTACCCAGCGGATTAGTAATAGAGAAGAGACGATATTTATCGCGTTGCGCTTCAATAGTTCCATAACGGCAACGTTTATACAGGTATTTCGATCCCTCAGGTGTAGCCCATTTCAGTTGGTGATGTTGTTTCATACTCGCTAGATCCCACACTAAGCCTTGACCATCTTTCGAAATGGTAACTACATATTTGGAGTCCGGACTGAAATCCAAATCGTCGATTTCCTTAGAGTGTGCGCTGTGTAATAAAGCGTTATAAATCTTTCTCAATTAAAAAGCNAAATCCAAATCGTCGATTTCCTTAGAGTGTGCGCTGTGTAATAAAGCGTTGTAAATCTTTCTCAATTAAGTGCATTGATTCTCACCTCACATCGTTATACTGCACCATTTGTGGAAATGACCACACCCTCAAATGGCCATCTGTGCCACCGGTGGCCATCAATCGCCCATTGGGGCTGATGCGCACAACTCGCTGCAAGGGTTCGGTTGTCAGAAAATCTGTTTGCACTGAATCCCCAGCCTTGATGTCAAATTTTATGCGCTTCAAGTTGGCGTTCAGATCACTAGTCTTCTTGGCAGCACCCATAGCATGTCCATTCGGTAAATCTTGAACACCGGATCCTTGTGGACCTGCTGCGGCCGCACGCCTGTGTAAACCATTTTCGTTTCCATGATCTGTTGCACCATTGCCCTTTGATCGTTTTTCCTCTGCTCCCGTTGACGCATCCTCTTGTCCCTCATATACAATCCGTGGATTAACAAAATATAATTGACAATGTGATTCTTGACCCGCACACAAATATGAGCGTCGCCCATCGTTGCGCACGGCAAAATTCATGACTACATTGGCACCGGTTTCATGCCGCACTACCTCCTCAGCACAAAAGTGTGTGCCATTATGATAGATTTCGTAGATTTCCTATTGAACAAGAATATTAGTTAATATAAAAACTTGCTAACAATAAATCCGGCACACTAACAAAACCGTTTGCTACGCCTGTTTTAGCTGAACCACCACCTCCTGCGACCAGCACATGTCTACTGGTGAGCATTTCAATGGCGTAAAGTGGAAAATTAACTCTGGCCAGCAAACCATCGCTAGGTCGGCGTGTTGGTGCCATTCCTTTAGTGATGAATGATTTCTTCTGTTGTTCCAGCTGCCAACTTAACTAGTATTGCTGCGCTTATAAGGCTTGTTTGCTGCACTTTGCTTCAGCTGTTTATGTCCAATCTTTCGTTGTTTCGAGCAATCTTTTGTATTGGTATTGTTGTTGCTTTATCTTGTTTCCGCTTCAACCTTAATTTGTCAGTCTCACATGAACGTGAATTTTTTTCCGTTCCTTTTTGATTGAACTTCAAATGGAGATTCGTAGCATTAAAGTGGGTTACTCTATACACAGGCTTAGCTGAACCTTTATTTCACACAATTTATTGATTATTTTTCTATTTAATTAATAATTCACTACATTTACATAGTTATTCTCTCGCCGCCTAGTTCAGCTGTGAAAGTTCCACGTACTCGTATCTTTTCTCCACTATTCGTGTTTGACATTTGTGTATAGGGCTGCCAGCTTCGCTCAGGCCGTGCCATTTTTGGCCCATTTTACTTCGAATAGCATTTGATTTTTTTAATTAGCACAAAGCACAGAGGGGCACTTTTAAAAAATAGTAATATTTCTATACACTGGTGAAAGTCTTTGCATGTACCTCTCTTTTTCAACTAAAATGTTCGAATTTCTAAATTTTGTCATTGCACTTTTGTTTAACTTTATTGCTAATTGGGAAGAAAATAAGTAACTATATTTCCATTAAAAGGGGGTGGATGCTTTTGAGGCACTTTTATTTTTTTATTTGCCACGTTTTGGGAATTTTTTATCTTCAATACAGCACCTCATAGCTGAGACTGTGTTTATACACGGAAACTTTTGTCGACGCGGTTTTTCACATTCCCTTTTGGTGTTGCTCGTTTCATTTACACACGGCGATTTGTGTGTATGCAATTGTTGTTGTCAGCTGTGAACAGCGGTTCAATTTACACAGACGAACGAGAGCACAAAGCGTGTTGCAGCAACACTCCCCCAAAATCCTTTAGGGAACGTGTATGCTGCTACAACAACAACAACAAGCACAAAGCGTGTTGCCCGAGCACGAGCAACTCGGTGCCCCTCTCCTATCCTCCTCTCGCTCCCTCCAACAAACGTCGAGTTGCGGCAACAAAAATCGCCGTGTGTAAATGAGCACTAAGGTAAGTTAGCAGCCGTGATTGTGAAGCGCTGCCACTGGATGCCAGTGCGACAAGTAATAATGCAAAAAAAAACTTAAAACGAGATTTAGTTAAAAGCATTTCGGTCATACAAACATAAATGATTATAAAGTTATAACTTTTTATTTACTCCAATAAGCCTGAAATACTTCTGAATGTTTTTCTTGCTGTGTTTATTTGCTTTACGGGTGGGAACAGAAAGAACAGCCAAAAGCCGGAAATTCGTGTCGATAAAAGAGTTCACATGGATAATACAGTGCTTGCGGCTGTTCGCCTTGTTGTAATAGGGAGGCACNTGCTTTGAACTGCTCGAAGTGTGGTGGGACGGAAAAATTTTTGGTATGGTGGCAGCCGACACTTCTCTACCGACACCGTCGGTCGAGTGGTGCACTCGTCGAGGTGTGGTGTATTTGGCCGACTGCACCCCAAAATTTCTGGCAGAAATTAGTTCACAGAGAAAATGCGCCTTCTCAGTTATAAACGTTCTCTGATTTGGCCGTCATCAATTCGCCACTTCGCTGGTTGCTATATTTGAATTCGGTCGCTTAACGAAAAATTTTGCATGCGAAAGCAACAACAAAGATAGCTAGCACGCATGAACCATCGTCTTGGCTAGCACGCATGATTCAATAATACACGGTTAGATAATTATTGACAGCTGCGGTTTGACACTCCCTTACAAAAGGTTGCATTTACGAAGGACAGAGAAAAGGCAAGAATGCAATCCCTTGTTGCGAAAATGGTAGTAGAAAAGTACGCAAAGTAGGCAATTAGTAGTGAAATTCCTTTTGTAAATTCTAATGTATTTGCAGGAAATCTGGCATTTTAAACGAAATGTTGAACGTAATATTGATATATCCACGTGTATTACGTAATTTATATGCTATTTAGCCGTATAAAAACTGCAAAATGACTCAAAATTAAAATAAGACTACTATGAGATTGATGTAAACATCCAATGCTTATGTTTTCATCAGTTAAATATGCTTCATATGCATATACAAATAAACATATTGCACAAAAGCTTATACTTTTATTTCACACCAAAGCTACACTGTTTCCATGTAAATTTGCAAAGAAGCAACACGGTGCCACTGCTAAGGGAGCGGTGCGAGAGAGACAACTGTCAGTTTATCGAACCTTGTATTATTGAATCATGGCTAGCACGGATAGACAATAGCGAGTTTGGTTGTACCTCATTGAGTTCGTTCGTTTCGCCACTGGCTAAAGGTCTGATTATGCATACTTCGCATAACTTCGCACGACCAGTTGTACCAGTGCAATAAAAATGTAACTTAAGCAAATGTGAAGCAAAACCTAAACTCAACAGATCGCTAAGTTTTTAAAAGTTCTGCTAATTTCTGGGTAATGGAATACATACAAATTACATATGAAATAACAGTTTGAAGTTTATGCGAAGTTATGCGAAGTATGCATAATCAGACCATAACTGTTGGCGAATCGATGACGGCTAGTGATTAACAATCATAACGACTAATAATTGAAGCATATTTTTTGGGTAAGCTTTTAATGATTAAATGCCGTTATGAACCTTTTCAATGATTATAAATTAATTACTTAGTCATTTTTTGCTTGCCGCTCCACTATGTTTTGACCCTCCGTTTTTTAGCTGTAGCTATTAGGAAAGCATAAAAGTAACAGTGTAAAATTTGTATATAAAAAATTTAAGTTGAATTGAAAGAAAATGAGGGTTTTTAAAGTTGATTATTTTCTGAAAACCTACAACCATCGTACAGCCACGATCAGCTGATTGTCAAAAAATGCAAACAGCGCGCAGCTGAGTTCTCCTGTTTTTGGCATTTACTGCTATTTGTTATAATTTCTTCCATTTCTATTACAATTTAAACCAAATGCATCAATACACGGAACTAAAAACACCAAAACACTAATAAAGAAGAAGAGTTACGTTACTTATAGAACTGTACGACGCCTACAACTGCGGTTGAGGTGAGGAATTATCCACCAAGGAATAATGATGACTGATCTTTTAGGCAGCGAGGTGAATTTACAAATTTACAATTTACAAATTCGCCAAAGAGTCCTGACGCAGGGCAGAATAAATGCAACATTATTTCGAGAAAAGAAAACGCTATAAAACAGATATTTTTTCGCTCAGCTGCATTTCCCTGAAAGTTATCGTCGAAAGGCTTCTCAAACTATTTAGAGTTATGCCATGAACCAAAAATACAAGATCACGCACTCTTCACAGCTAGGAAAAAAGTAGGGCGATTTCGACATTAGCCGTTTGTTTACATTTGTTCGTTGTTTACAATTTGGTGGAGGCTTTTTACTGCAATTTTCTTCATTTCCGCTTGTGACAACGTGTGTACACGTAAGGTAAGGAATAATTTAACACAACGACATGATTTATAGAAGAATTTGCATAATAAAAATGATTATTCATGCGTTCAACAATTACGCGGTTTTTTTGCGTTTTCTTCGTTGTTTACTTCGTCGAGATTTCAACAGCTAGAAAATAACTTTTTTCTTTCTTTCCTTAACGCGTAATCTTGTGTCTTTCGTTCATGGAGTTATGCTGGCTATAAAGACGAGCAAGAGTTTTTTAAGTAAAAATAAATAAATGCATTTGCTTTAATTGCTTTTTCCCTGCTACCCGCTCATTCGCCACTTTTTCGAGTGCAACCAAAAAAATTAACAAGTAAGCAAAAGATTAAAGAAAAATAAAATTGTTCAGCCATATAAGGACGCCCAACTCTGAATCATACAAAACTTCCTTCTTGTGAAACAGAAATAAAAACAATTTAAAATTGATGCCCGAGAATTGTCACCAACTAACCGGTTGCTGCCGTTCTTGTAAAACCAGCACAGCGGGCAACACAATTGCAATCGGACCTCCACATCCCACACCGCTATGAACTTTGAGCATCAATTCAGTGACATTCAGCCATCGAACAAGTTGCTCGCCCAAGCCTAATATGGTGACTTATCTCCAAAAGAACCGTATTGCATGACAAAAAGTTAGCAATTCTTATTTTTTGACGCATTATTCTTAACACATTTTTTTAAAAGCATCTATACATACATATATTCATATATTACGGCTGGGACTGTATGTATATTCGGATATTCGAGTATACGGATAAAATCTGGATACCCGGTTATTAACCATTCATTACGTTATCCGGATGTTCTAAACAGTATTTTTGAACGGATTCGTAAAATTTCCTCGAAATTACTGAATTTATCGGGTTGCAAGGTAAATAATAGAATAATACACGAACAATTGTTCTTTTATTGCTAATTTTTGAATTCTAAAATTCGGGTATTCGGCTAATGTCGGATATTTTAATTAGATATTCGGGTTATCCGGATATTAAAAAAATCCGGAGTTTATCTCCCAGCCCTATTATATATGTACATATGTAAAAGGAGGTGCACACACAAACAGGACTCGTGGCCACGGAAGAAGTTTCCAAATATTAATGTATTAAAAATATTAAATGACTTTAATTGCTACGAGTGCGTGGTTGACATTAACTTTTAGTGACCAATATTTGGCTTGAAACTGCTTCCTGATTGTGTGTACAGTAGGGTGCTCCAAAATAAGTAAGTCGGAATTTTAATGCTCGCACCCCCTAGGATTGTTCTGTATCGAAAAAATATACCCCTATTTTCTTATTCGAAATCAAAAAGAAAATTAGACGTCGCCCAGCCCGCTTAAAAGTTTTCCATGTATTTTATATGGTGAAAAAAAACAACTTTTCGTAGAAATGGTAGAAATTCTTGAAAGTCACTATTCTTCGAACGGAAAACTCTGTGTCTCTTCAGGAGACTCCCAATAATAATACCCAATTATTTAACCATTTTTTCATAGTAACTATATTTTATACGTCCGTCATAACCCCCACAAAATGCCAGAAAATGTAATGGGGGGATAAATAAAAAATCTTTTGTATTACAAAATTTTTAAATAAACAATTAGATGGATATTAATACTGAAAGTCTCCTGAAGAGAGCTAGGGTTTTCTGATCGAAAAATATTGCTTTTCAGGGATTCTATACCATTTCTGCGAAACGTTGTTTTTTCCCATATGCATGGTAAACTTTGAGCGCTTTGAGCGAATTCTAAATATTCTTTGATTTCAAAATAAAAAAAGGGGTATATTTTTTTCGCAATAGAACAATTCCAGGGGGTGAGAGCATTTATATTCCAACTTTACTTATTTTGGACCACCCTAATGCACATACATATGTATGTATTAGAGTCCAGCGCAATTGTATTTGCCGCATTTCATTC